AAGAAGAAGAAGAAGAAGAAGAAGAAGAAGAAGAAGAAGAAGAAGAAGAAGAAGAAGAAGAAGAAGAAGAAGAAGAAGAAGAAGAAGAAGAAGAAGAAGAAGAAGAAGAAGAAGAAGAAGAAGAAGAAGAAGAAGAAGAAGAAGAAGAAGAAGAAGAAGAAGAAAGTTGGAAGGGACCTTGGAGGTCATCTACTACAGCCCCCTGCTGAGGCAAGAGACCCTATACCATTTCAGACAAATGGCTGTCCAGTCTCTTCTTAAAAACTTCCAGTGTTGGAGCATTCATAGCTTCTGGAGGCAAGTTGTTCCACTGGTTAACTGTTCTGTCAGGAAATTTCTCCTTAATTCTAGGAGGCACAATTAGTTTCCATCCATTGCTTCTTGTCCTGCCTCAGGGACTTTGGAGAACAGCTTGACTCCCTCTTCTTTGGGGCAACCCCTGAGATATTGGAATGCTGCTATCATGTCCCCCCTGGTCCTTCTCTTCATTTAAACTAGACATACCCAATTCCAACAACCGTTCCTTATATGTTTTAGCCTCCAGTCTCCTGATCATCTCTGTTGCTCTTCTTTGCCCTTTTTCTAGAGTCTCAACATCTTTTTTACATCGTGGTGACCAAAACTGGATGCAGTATTCCAAGTGTGCTCTTACCATTTACCATTGTAAAACAGTATTAACACTTCATGTGATTTCTGTTCTATTCTATTCTATTCTATTCTATTCTATTCTATTCTATTCTATTCTATTCTATTCTATTCTATTCTATTCGATCCCATCCCATCCCATCCCTGTTAATGCAGAGGTGTAGAATTGTGCAAAAAGATGGGGACACACCAGGAGTGCAAGGTTTGCTCACCTGGTTCACTGGAAGGGATGGGCATCTGGGGTCTCCTGCAGGGGAGAAGAGGTGCAGGTAAATCAGTCCAACCCAACTTCAGACACTTCAGGCAACTTGGTTTAGGCCAGGGGTAGGCAACCTTGGCTCTTTTATGACTGGTGGACTTCAACTCCCAGAATTCCTGAGCCAGCCATGCTGAGGGGAAAGGGAGAGGTTTCTAAGCTGGCTCAGGAATTCTGGGAGTTGAAGTCCACAAGTCATCAAGGGGGCCATGGTTCCCCCATGCTGGCTCAGGAATTCTGGGAGTTGAAGTCCACAAGTCATAAAAGGGCCACGTTTGAAGACCCCTACCCTAGGCCTAGATTCTAGACCAGGGATAGGCAACTTTGGCTCTTTTATGACTGGTAGACCTCAACTCCCAGAATTCCTGAGCCAGCCTGGCTCACCTTGGAAACCTCTCCCTTCCCCCTCAGCATGGCTGGCTCAGGAATTCTGGGAGTTGAAGTCCACAAGTCATGAAGGGGCCAAAGTTTCCCTCATGCTGGCTCAGGAATTCTGGGAGTTGAAGTCCACAAATCATCAAGGGGGCCATGGTTCCCCCATGCTGCTCAGGAATTCTGGGAGTTGAAGTCCACAAGTCATCAAGGGGGCCATGGTTCCCCCATGCTGGCTCAGGAATTCTGGGAGTTGAAGTCCACCAGTCATAAAAGAGCCAAGGTTGCCTACCCCTGGATTAGGCCAAGAACAGCACAACTAACGCTCAGCAAGCCTCAATAGAGGACGTGGCCACTTAATACAGGCAGTCCTCAAATTATGACCCAAAATTTCCGTTGCAAAGCGAGACAGCTGTTCGGTGAGTTTTGCCCCATTCTATGACCTTTCCTGACGCAGCCGTTCAATGAATCCCTGCCATCATTAAATTAATAAGGCGGTTGTTAAATGAATCTGACTTCCCCTATTGACTTTGTTTGTCACAAGTTCACCGAAGCCGATCACATGACTCCAAGGCACGGCGACCGTCATAAATACGAGCCAGTGGCCAATGGTCTGAATTTTGATCATGTGACCAGTCGTAAGTCTGAAAAAAACGACTAAATTGATGGTTGCAAGTTGAGGATTACCTAGAGGTAACAGAATGCAGAATTTTGACTCCTATTCTTTTGTTTTCTCCAAGCAAGAAGTTTATCTTCATAAGTCCTCGCTGTACAGTGTATTTTTTTTTATTACTCAAAAATATTATAATTATTCTTGGCAGAAAACTATGACGTTAGCCTAAAGCAGCTAAGTAAATAGCTGAAAAGAATAACATTAAATATTATACACTAACTGTACCCAGCCACGCGTTGCTGTGGCTCAGTCTGGTAAAAGTGTGTGTTGCTTTGACGTCCAACAGATGGCGCTGTTTTTCAAAAAACACATGTTTTTACCTGTCACAGGTATGACATCTATATAATAGTAGGTATATAAATACACGCGCGTATTCGAATGCAACGTTGTGTCAAAATTTCAAAGCAATCGGTGAAGAACTTTCAGAGATTTAAGATTTTGAACAAACGAACATTTACATTTTTATTTATATAGATATATGTGCTTTTTCATTCTTACGTGCCAGGCACTGGAAGCTGACTTCTTCTAGGTCCTGTGTTCCTTTGTGTGTTGTAATAATTTTCGTAGACTACAGGAGCTGCAAAAAGCAGAAAGCAAAAAAAAAAAAAGTCAAAAAAATAACAACAACACAACTTGTTTCTCAACTAACATTGGCCCACACTGGATGGGATGTGTTACTTTCGGGTGCTGAGATTACAATTCTTAGAATTCTGAGCCAGTGGAGAGAAGCATTCTGGGATTTTAGTAGCCCCTTCTGAATTTATATATATATTTTTCTAGCAAAACATGGTTCTGAAAACATGTTTGTTGGTTTGTAACCCTCCTTTATTATTTGTATACGTAACTCAATGGGGCAAACGTACCTAATACTTCTTCCTCCTCCTGTTTTCCCCAAAATAACAATCACCCTGTGAGGTAGGTTGAGCGGAGAGAAAATGATTGGGCAAAAGTCACCTAGCCGGCTTTTATGCCTAATGTGAGACTAGAACTCACAGTCTCCTGGTGATTGGCCCAAAGTCACCCAGCCGGCTTCCATGTTTAAGCCACAACTAGAACTCACAGTGTCCTGGTGAGTGGCCCAAAGTCGCCTAACCGGCTTTTATGCCTAATGCGGGACTAGAACTCACAATGTCCTGGTGAGTGGCCAAAGTCACCTAGCTGACCTCCGTGCTTAAAGCAGAACTAGAACTCAAAGTCTCCTGGTGAGCGGCCCAAAGTCATATAGCCGGTTTTTATGCTTAAGACAGAACTAGAACTCACAGTCTCCTGGTGATTAGCCCAAAGTGTCCCAGTCAGCTTCCATGCTTACGGCAGAACTAGAACTCACAGTCTTCTGGTGAGCAGCCCAAAGTCACCTAGCCGACTTCCATGCTTACGGCAGAATTAGAACTCATAGTCTCCTGGTGAGCGGCCCAAAGTCACCCAGCCGGCTTCCTTGCTTAAGGCAGAACTAGAACTCACACTCTCCTGGTGATTGGCCCAAAGTCACCCAGTCGGCTTCCATGCTTAAGGCAGAACTAGAACTCAGTCTCCTTGTTTCTAGCCTAGTGCTTTAACCCTAAACCAAACAGGGGACTCGGGAGTATCGGTAGAGCTTCTGAAGTGGCTGTATTGATTGTTATGGATGGATATGACTACCCCGGCTATGAATTTTGCTATATAATTTGCTGTACAGCCAGAAAAAAATAAAATGGAGTGGACTAAGAGAAAGTAGTGAGACACAAAGTTTTAGAGTTGGTATCAATCCTTCAAGTTCAGCTAGATCAAGAAAGAGGCACAGAAGGATTTCTGGGCAATTTGCAGTCAGGTATAATAAGAGAAACGTGAAACCCCGTCCAAATTTCTCCCTATCTCCACTTATGCTAAGGAAAATCAAGATGGGATTACTTTGACTTTCTTTCTCACCGGTCCTTCTAGCTCCGGACGGCCGTCTGTTTTTCCTTTTCCACGAGTCCCTTATACTTTCCCCCAAATTACCTCTAAACTCCTTTACACAACCGTGTTTTATAGACACGAACGGGGCACCGTTTGAACTTGAGACCTCGGGCGTCCGTCTCTTTTACCTGGCGGGATGTTGCCGGTCTTGCGAATATGTACAAAACACTCTATGTCATTCCCGATGCTGCACTGCTCCAGGGCTTTGCGGATCTCTTCGTAGTTCTGTTGCAGGGACGAGAAAGTCGATTTTAGCGGCAGGAAAATGACGCGCCCCGAATTGCTGCCATGTTTTCCGAATCCAAATTCCAGCACCGGAGGAGAAGTAAGGGGCAAAAAGACTGGGGGGGTGGGGGGGGGGTGGCCACATCTTGTGCTTACTACACAACAATCAATCCCTTTTGGGAATTAAAAAAAAAAGTGTGTGTGTGTGTGTGGTTTCTCTTTTCCTACGGATGAATGAATCCATTCCGTTGTGGCAACAATCCAACTTGGATCAACGACTTCGTGACTCGGTTCAGAAAACTGATCGTTTTTAGAGATCTAACCCGATTCACGAGGAAAACAATGTTTGTGCAAATGTATCTTCAGGGGCTGCCCCAAAGAAGAGGCAGTCAAGCTATTCTCCAAAGCACCTGAAGGCAGGACAAGAAGCAATGGAGGGAAACTCATCAAGGAGAGAAGCAACCTAGAACTAAGGAGAAACTTCCTGACAGTTAGAACAATTAATCAATGGAACAACCTGCCTCCAGAAGCGGTGAATGCTCCAACACTGGAAGTTTTTAAGAAGAAACTGGACAGTCCTTTGTCTGAAATGGTATAGGGTTTCCTGCCTGAGCAGGGGGTTGGACTAGATGATCTCCAATGTTCCTTCCAACTATTCTATTCTATTCTATTCTATTCTATTCTATTCTATTCTATTCTATTCTATTCTATTCTAAATCTATTCTATTCCAGATATTCTGTTCTGTTCTGTTCCTTTGAAAATGCCCAACTCAAAAAGTTTGCCAATGCCCGATCTGCAGCAGGTAAGGACTGACGCTCCTTTCTTACATCATCATTCCTGACGCAAGCTTCAGACAGCTGATTGACATGGAACCACAACGCATTCCGGAAATAGTTGATCCGCTCACATTCTTGGCTCTCGAAGAACTGCAGGAGACACAGAAGAAGATCAGCTGCCAAACTCGGCCGAGAAGCAGCATTTGATCAGAGTAGATTTTTATTTAATGTATTTACCAACTGGCCCTCTTGAAGAAAGTTTGAGAAGAAAGGCAATACTTACGAAGCCACCATAAAACCGTCAGTGGACATTCTCCATCATCCAGGTCAGGGCTAGGCAACCTTGGCTCTTTTATGACTCGTGGACTTCAACTCCCAGAATTCCTGAGCCAGCATGAGGGAAACTTTGGCTCCTTCATGGCTGGTGGACTTCAACTCCCAGAATTCCTGAGCCAGCATGAGGGAAATTTTGGGCCCTTCATGACTTGCAGACTTCAACTCCCAGAATTCCTGAGCCAGCATGGCTCCGCTTCGAAACCTCTCCCTTTCCCCTCAGCATGGCTGGCTCAGGAATTCTGGGAGTTGAAGTCCACGAGTCATAAAAGAGCCAAGGTTGCCTACCCCTGCACTAGTCGTTTCTGTATCAGTAAATCAGTCTAATCGGTAAAACCCAAAATCATGGTGTCGTTTTTTTTTCCACACCTCAAGCACAAAGTCCAGAAGCGGTTTCCAAGTAGAAACAAAAGTATTTATATTCTTTTCTTTGATCGGCACAGTCAATCTGGCCGTCTCTGCTCATTCATTCAGTTTTTGTAACCATTCGTTTATGGTAAGAATCGAGGCATCCTTCCATTTTTGTGCCTAGATCAGGGGTAGGCAACCTTGGCTCTTTTATGACTCGTGGACTTCAACTCCCAGAATTCCTGAGCCAGCATGGCTCAGCTTGGAAACCTCTCCCTTTCCTCTCAGTATGGCTGGCTCAGGAATTCTGGGAGTTGAAGTCCATGAGTCATAAAAGAGCCAAGGTGGCCTACCCCTGATCCAGGTCATGGTGGTCTGCAAAGTTCCTTTTTCAAGAAGCAACTGGACTTTCTTGGTTTGTCCTTGAAGATGTTTCACTTCTCATCCAAGCAGATTCTTCGGTTCCGATGGAAAGAAACTCCAGTTGCCTCTTGAAAAAAACACCTTTGGGACCACCATCAAACCATTAAAACTTGACCTCTTCCAGTTAGGTTTTAGGGCTGGGCATGGGATGGAGACCATGGAGATAGCTTTTAGGGATGACCTGTGGTGGGACTTTGACTGGACAGAAACTTTTGTCCAGAAACATTTGACATCACATACCATGATACCCCTATGGCTTGTCTATGAAAACTAGGATTGAAGCCACTGAAGAAGCAGGTAGGTGTCTTGCTCGGCTGTGGCTTGGGGGGCACTTTTTTCAGTGCCATTGTAACTTCAAACAGTCACTAAGCGAACTGTTGTAAGTCGAGGACTACCTGTACTTTTATCACTTTTTTCCTTTTTTTTTTTTTTTGGTCAAGTTTTTGACACCTTGCTAGGCGACTCGTGGTACTCGGATATTGCCATATCCTAAAAGTGGTACAATGGGTGAAAAGGTTGAAAAGCCCTGCTCTAGACCAGTGGTGGCGAACCTATGGCAGGTGTGCCAGAGGGGGCACTCGGAGCCCTCTCTGTGGGCACGCGCGCCTCGCTCTTTGGCTAAGTTTTTGCAGGAAAAAGCCATTTCTCAAGCCCCTTCCTAGCCAAAACAAGCCTCCGGAACGAGTGCGCTGTTTTCAGCTTTGAATTATATCAAATCTGACACCAGAAACAGACTAACAGATGACCCTGAGTGCTGCATGTGTTGCTCTCAAAACTTACAAAGTATGAGCCAAGGTTAGGCAAATTATCAGCATGCCTACAACAGCAAAAATCACACGAATTGTTGAAAAGCAGGCCAAATGCAAACTTGTACCTTTCAGTAAAAAGTTGTTTGCGTCATTGAAAGCTTTGTTATTGTGTTTTTCCTTTAAGACAAAAGATGTTAATGTATGAGTTGTTGTTTTTTCTAAACTAAAACCTCAGTGTTCAGATTAAGTTGCCGTGTTGGCACTTTGCAATAAATAAGTGGGTTTTGGGTTGCAGTTTGGGCACTTGGTCTCTAAAAGGTTCGCCATTTATTTGGGATGGGGAAGGGAGAAATCCTTTTTTAAAAACTTGTTTGGCTTTCAGCCTTGCTGGCTTCTCCTTCGCTGAGTAGGGAAATCTTCCCCCTTTGGGTTTTCCAAAATAAACTATAGCGTTATGTGGAAGTATTTCACACACTGCTGTTAAATAACAGGCTCCATGCACAAAGGCTTCTACGAAACACTCAGCCGAAGTAGCTGAATCGGCAATTAATCTGTTGGTTCAGCTGAATATCTTACTTTTGGCAACAACAACACAGAGGAGAAGGAGAGAAAACGGAACCGAGAAACAGGGGAGAATCCAACCGAACATGAACGCAACAATCTGGGGACCTTGTGTATTCCCTCCAGGTTAAAAACACATCCTCCTTCGAAAAACACAATTTCTGCTTTAGTTTTGTTGTGCTGTGTTTGGGTTACCTCGCAAGCCTTGACATGCTCGTTCTGCCACTCTTCCCTAATCTTCTCGAGAGCGTTGACGTTATTCTGATACAGCCTGTCTGCAAATGGGAAACAACAACAAAGTTATCCACAATTGTGTTAAAGGGAGGGTGGGCCCAAATTGCAAACTTGAATTCCTCAGTCGGCCATTTTGATGAAACTGCAGGCTTGGATCCAGACCAGGGGTCTTCAAACTTGGCCCTTTTATGACTGGTGGACTTCAACTCCCAGAATTCCTCAGTCGGCCATTTTGATGAAAGTGCGGGCTTGGATCCAGACCAGTTGGAGTTCAAGTCCACCAGTCATCAAAGGGCCAAGTTTGAAGACCCTGCTTTATTTGCTCAAGTGCAGTTGACTGAATTGGTTGGCTTCTTCCAGCACGCTACACCATAAACCAGTGTTTCTAAATATCTATGGAGATTCTCAGTCATCCAGGTCCCTGGTTGTCCCAAAGGTGCTTTTTCAAAAGGCAACTGGACTTTCTTGGTTTTTCCTTGAAGACATTTCACTTCCCATCCAAGGAGCTTCTTCAGCTCTGACTGGACGGTGGGGAATGGAAGGATTTATACTCCTTGCAGACAAGATGTTCATTTGCCTTCTTTTAGCGAATCGTTAAAGCTACCCGGAGGCTTGTCTGTGTACTCAGGGTCACCTAAGTGGTGTAGTAAATGGGTGTGGAGGCTTCTTGTGTTGTAGACTGGAGATAGATGAGGTCGTATCCCTCCCTCTGTTGAGAGAGGGCTGTTCAGTTTTGACCTATATGACCTCTTTGACCTCTCTTTCAGACCAGGCGGTCCTCTCTGTCCAAAATGTGGATTTTGCTGCCTTCGAAAGAGTGGCCTTTGTCCTTTAAATGCAGATGGACGTCGATGATGATGATGATGATGATGATGATGATGATGATGATGATGATGATAATAATAATAATAATAATAATAATAATAATAATAATAATAATAATAATAATAATAATAATAATGGTAAAGTTGGAACGGACCTTGGAGGTCATCTAGTCCAACTCCCTGCTCAGGCAGGAAACCCTATACCCTTTCAGACAAATGGCTGCCCAGTCTCTTCTTAAAAACTTCCAGCGTTGGAGCATTTACCGCTTCTGGAGGCAGGTAGTTCCACTGATTAATTGTTCTAACTGTCAGGAAGTTTCTCCTTAGTTCTCCTTTGCTTCTCTCCTTGATTAGTTTCCATCCGTTGCTTCTTCTCCTTCAGGCGCTTTGGAGAATAGCTTGACTCCCTCTTCTTTGGGGCAGCCCCTGAGATATTGGAACACTGCTATCATGTCCCCCCTCGTCCTTCTCTTCATTAAACTAGACATGCCCAATTCCAGCAACCGTTCCTTATACGTTTTAGCCTCCAGTCTATCTACAACACAGTCCTTTCAGCAGTCCCAAGAATGCTCCACACCCGTTTGCACCTCTCAGGTGACTCTGAGGACACAGGTAAACCTCCAGGAGGCCTCAACAACTCTCTAAAACGATGCAAATGACCAGCTGTCTGCAAGGAGTATAAATCCTTCTGTTTCCCACCATCCAGTCAAAGCTGAAGAAGCTTCTTGGATGGGAAGCGAAACATCTTCGAAGGAAAAACGAGAAAGTCCGGTTGCCTCCTGAAAAAAGCACCTTTGGGATATCAGGTTGGGTAATGTTAGTTTAACGTGATGTGATCCTCGTCTCTTTGTGTCGGCCCATCTAACTTTTTCCTCTCCGCGCCTTAAACGGCTCTTCCTTTAAGACTGAGAGGCAGAAATCAGTCTGAAAGTTGGCAATTGTCTTCAGAGGCAGAAAAAACTCACCCGAGTCTTCCAGGGCAGTCTTCGCCTGGGCAAGCTTCACGAACAGCTGAAAAGGAAGAGAGAATCAATGGGGAAGATAAATAACAGGAGTCGGGAAACATGTCGATTCTGAGAAGGGGAGGGGAGGGAGAAGAAAAGGAGAGAAGAAAGAGGAAAGGAAAGAGGAAAGGGAAAAGGGAAGAGAAATGGAAAAAGGAAAAAAGGAAAAGGAAGAGAAAAGGGAAAAGGGAAAAGGGAAAAAGGAAGAGAAAAGGGAAAAGGGAAAAGGGAAAAGGGAAAAGGAAAGAGAAAAAAGAAGAGAAAAGGGAAAAGGAAAGGGAAAATGGAAAAGGGAAAAGGAAAGGGAAAAGGAAAAAGGAAAGGGAAAAGGAAAAAGGAAAGGGAAAAGGGAGAAGGGAGAAGGGAAAAGGAAAGAGAAAAGGGAAAAGGGAAAAGGAAAAGGAAAAAAGGAAAAGGAAAGAGAAAAGAGAAAAGAGAAAAGGAAAGAGAAAAGGAAAGAGAAAAGGGAAAAGGGAAAAGGAAAGAGAAAAGGGAAAAGGAAAAGGAAAAAAGGAAAAGGAAAGAGAAAAGAGAAAAGAGAAAAGGGAAAAGGAAAGGGAAAAGGGAAAAGGAAAGGGAAAAGGAAAGAGAAA